TCGCCCAAAGCATCCTCCACCCTCTGCATCAGTGACAGCACCTTCTCCTCCTCCAACCTCCTTCCTACAACCTGAACGCCGACGGGCAGGCCGTGCATGTCCTTGGCATCGTACAGCTTATACGCTCCGTACGCCACGCCATTGAGCTTCTTAATGTTGAAGTCCGCGGGAAGCTGATCCAGGTCCTTGTCCACATGTGTCACGGGGAGAACGCCGGCGGTGTAGTCGAGCTAGATAGTTAATTAGCCACTCATAATCCCCCAAAAATATGGGAAAGGAGTCACAGAAACTCACCAGGTTGAAGAGAAACGTGTATCCGCAGCTACTACACGCATCCTTCATCCCGTCATGCGGCACAGCAGGCGTAGCATTAGGCGGCGTGATCAAAAAGTCCACCTCCGCCTTGTTCCACCACTCAAACCACTGATTCCGGTACGCCTCCCGCCGCGCGACGAGCTTCCAGTTCTCAAACGCCGACTGCGGTCGCCAGTCCCGGACGAGGCCCGCCCAGACGTCGTCGCGGCGGATGTACTTCACCCAGAGGTAGTAGAGATACCGCAAGGGACTGGCAAGGTTCATCAGGAACTTCATCTGCGCGGCGCCCGGGTCGTTCCACTCCCCCGTACGGAAGAAGGTGCTGAACATCTGGCACCCGTCGGCGTTGAGCGCGAGGGCGGCAATCTTGAGGCCCTCGTAGGGGGAGGGCGGGCTGATCTCGACGATTTCGTGGCCCTGCTTGCGCAGCGCGTTCTCCACCATCTCCAGCGCGCGCCGGCACGCCGGGCTGGGGTCCACGACGCCGTCGGTACGCATCACGCCGACGCGGAGCTTCTTCTTGTCGGACAGCCACGTCTTTTCCGTCTCGGAACGCCACGCCAGCGGGTGGACGCTGTAGTCGTACTCCCACGGCTTCATCCCCACCACGGCGCGCGTGAAGTACCGCAGGTCGTCGAGCGTCCTCGTCATGGGGCTGTACACGGACGGCACGCCCTCCTGGCCCGGCATGCTCGTGCAGAAGCCCAGCTTCGGCCACCGGCCCGTGGAGCAGCGGAGGCTGTAGCACCCCGAAAAGTGCGCCGGCGCCCTCACGCTGCCCGCGACGTCGCTGCCGATGCCGATGCGTCCGCCCATGGCGAGGAGCGCGGACTCGCCGCCCGTGGAGCCGCCGGGTGAGTAGCGGCTATTGTGCGGGTTCGTGCAGCGGCCCCAGACGTCGTTTGTGGACTCGAAGCTGAGAAGGGTGATGGGCAGGTTGGTCTTCACGTAGGGGACGGCGCCGGCGTCCTTGAGGAGGCGGACGACGGGCCCGTCGGCGGCCGTCTTGTTGCCCACGAAGCTGCTGAAGCCGACGGTGGTGTCGTAGCCGCCGACGACGATTGTGTCTTTGAGGCTGACAGGGATGCCGGCCAGTGGGCCTTTTAGGTTGACGGAGCCGTCGGCCACCCACTTCTCGGCGGACTCGAGCATGACCTCGGTGAGGCAGTTTGTGCGCTCGTGGGCCTTGAGGGCTACCTTACCGTAGGTTTTGAGAATGTCAATGGGTTGGAGGACGGTCTTGTGGACATCTTGGACGAGTTCCTCGATGGGTTTGTCCAAGATCTGGCGGTCTTGTTGTGAAAAGGGGCCTTTGTAGGCCGTGAGGCGGCGAATTCTGTCCGCGCGTTCGGATTGCTTGAAGTTGCTGTTTTCTTAGTGTTAGTGAACCTCGGGGGTTTTGCGGTTATAGGCACGGGTGGAATGACAGACCAGTCACGACGGTGTTGGAGATAGTCGAATGGATAGACCATCTTGTATGTGTGGAGCGTACTTAGTACTAGGTATGTGTTGCAAGGTTGTGACTACGGCTATGAGAGAAAGGTGAGGCTGGCTTTAACTCTATGAAAGCCCACAATGTCGAGTGAGAACAGTGTGAAGGTTTGTTGAAAGATGATGGATGCAAGATGAGAGCTTGGGACTTATCAAGGGAGAGGAGAGAAAGAGAAGAGCCCGGCGTTGGGGTCAAGGTACTTACACGCTCGGTCACGGGTAGCCGGCGGAGTCACGGGGAAGCCCCGCTCCCCTTATCGGCCGCTGGGGTAAAAGGGCGTAAGGCGCGCTGTACAGACTCTAGAGCCTACTAAGGGTAGGGCACCTTAAGGTGAGGAGAGGTACCTCGCCTGCCACCTTATCTTTGGCCCGCTGATATCCGCCTGAAACTTCCCTGCTGGGCAAGTGAATGCGTCGGTGAGCCGGTGGACCACAACCAACAACACCAGGGCCTCCCCGCATGTTGGGTCCAAGGTGAGCCGAGACGCAGTCCAGCTGCGGTTGCATGTTTCATTATCAAATCGATTCCTCTTCCGTGGGTTCGTGGTATTGAGAGGTCCATGTGTCCTACGGGTTTCCGCAGGTATGTAAAAGAGTGGTGGTGCTTGTGGCTTACCCCGGGGTTTACGCCATGACTGTCAGGTCATTTAAGGCAAGCGTGCCTGGTATTAGTGGCATGAGCTACGTTGAATGTAAGATGAATTCATCTCAGGTGCGAAAGAAGAACTTTCCATGATCAATTTTTGTTCCCGAATGTCCAGATGCCGCTGCTAAATGTACTTCTGCTAACTCCAAGACCGTCGCTTTACAAAACCGGTCTTCTCTCGTTCCTGTAGTGATCCGCAATCAGGAATGCCAACTCGAGCGCCTGCTTCTCATTGAGTCTCGGGTCGCAGAAACTCGTGTAGTTGGTCGACAAATCATCCTCGTCCAGCCCTTCGCTACCACCCAGACATTCCGTCACGGCATCACCAGTGAGCTCGAGGTGGACGCCGCCGAGGTAACTCTTCTGCTCCTTGTGGATGCGCAGCGTCTCCTGCAGCTCCTCAAAGATGTCGCGGAAGCGCCGCGTCTTGATGCCGCCGCCCGTCGAGACCGTGTTGCCGTGCATGGGGTCACACTGCCAGACCACGCAGCGGTGGTACTCGCTGTCCTCGACGGCGCGGATATGCGCCGGCAGCAGCGAGCGCACTTTCGAGGCGCCGTACCGCGTGATGAGGGTGATCTTGCCGGGCTCCTTGTCCGGGTTGAGGGCGCGCAGCAGGGCGAGGAGGTCGTCCACGGGCGTGGTGGGTCCGACTTTGATGCCGATCGGGTTGGCGATGCCGCGGAAGAACTCGACGTGGGCGCCGTCGATCTGCCGGGTGCGGTCGCCGATCCAGAGGAAATGGGCCGAGGTGTCGTAGTACTCCTTCTTAGTCTCGGTGGGGCCGCTGCTGCTGTCGTTCCGGGGGCCGTTGCCGTTTGCTGTGGGACGCGGGACGGGCGTCTCCAGGAGGCGGGTCAGCGGCTGCTCGTACTCGAGGAGGAGGCCCTCGTGGCTGGTGAAGAGGTCGACCGTGTCCAGCTTGTCGCTTCGGTCGGCGCCGATGGTGTGGAGGAAGCGGAGCATGTCTGTGAGGGAGAGGACGGCCTCGGAGTACTTCCTCTTGAGCTCCGGGTCCCGGACATGGCCCAGGCCCCAGTCCAGCGGCTTGTGGAGATCGGCGATGCCTGATGAGAGGCATGCTCTGATGTAGTTGAGGGTTGCCGAAGAATACTGGTAGGCCCTTTGGTGTTGGTTAGCTCTGGTGGTGACACATGATTTGTCTTCATTGCATGACTCACTTCACGAGTCTCTGCGGGTCAATTTCACGCTCATCAACGTGGAAGCCGTTGAGGATGTCACCGCGGAATGAAGGCATCTCCACACCGTCAACCATTTCTGTAGGGCTCGATCTGGGCTTGGCATACTGGCCAGCCATACGGCCAATGCGCACCACGCGCTTGTCGGCACCCCAAACGAGAACCAGACTCATCTGCAGCAGCAGCTTGATCTTTGACTCGATTGCATTGGGCTCGCAGTAGTCGAACAGCTCCGCGCAGTCACCGCCCTGGAGCAGGAAAGCCTCGCCGAGTGCCACATCACGGAGGTGCTGCTTGAGTGCGACAATCTCCTTTGGGTGGACAATGGGCGGTAGCCGTCCCAATTCTTTGACGGACTTTTTCAAGCCGGCTTCGTCTGGGTAGGCGGGAGCCTGCTTGATGGGTTTTGAGCGCCAGGAGTCGGGCGACCATTCTGCGGAGGAAGACATGGTGTGATGTGTTGTGTTGGTGACTGTGTTGGTGACTCAAAATGGAGTTGTGGACAGTCAAGTGGTGCCGGGCTGGTTTGTCGCCAAAACTGACGTAGAGGGAAGCTGGAGAAATAGTAGGTAAGTCAACTTGAAGAAGAATTCGCACCGGCTTTCAAAATGATTCAACTTGAAAGTCATGACAAGAGGGCAAGAGTCCTGGCATATGTACCTTGGTGAGTCAACAGCAAACTGGATGACTGGTTCAAAGGCGCATGGAACAGTAAGTGATCGAATCTGGATACTCCGCTGTACCTACCTTACTAGGAAGTGAATTGGACCGGTGAGTGGGATGAATGCGAGCAGAAAAATCCTTAATAACGGGCAAGGGCCTGTTCACCTGCAACGGTGTGCTTGCTTTGCTCGAAATTGACCAATGGAAACGAGAGGGACGGAACCGAAGAGAGCAAAGCAAATTCAGGAACCAGACCATCCGTCAAACCCTGCGTGTTTGTGTGTCGAGTTTGTGGTGTGCGTCGCCATCTGGTGCTAAACCTGAGAAATAAAGTTGTACATTGTCCTCCTCCAGGGCAACGCTATGCCGAGGCGTACCGACCTACCTCGAACGCTCACCATCGGTGTAAGCGGCACGCCGCACACCTCCCCTCACCTGCGGAAAGGAGTGGGAAGGTAAGGTACGTACCATAAGGTAGCTCCCCCTCCCCGCCCCCACCTAAACCTGCCCCACCACAAATTCGATTCCAACGGGAAAGAGCTGTCTCTGCGCTGCGTGGTGCTCGACTGTCCACACAACGTCACAGCTCTTCAACCACACGATCATAGTCTCGCCCCTCGAATCCTGACCCAAAGGCCCCTCGAATCGACCGAATATACAATCGCCGGTATAATCCCTTGCACAAAATGTCTGAGAAGCAGCCCCCCACCGTCGTCGAGGGTGCCACCGCCGGCGATGTCGAGGAGGAGGTCCAGCCCGCAAAGTCAGCCGAGGACCGCAAGGCGGCGTCCGCCCTCGCCAGCCTCGATGCCGGCGGCGACGATTCGGGAAGCGGCCAGGTCGATGTCGATGCCGCCCAGAAGGCGATCAAGGGTCTTGGTGGCGCCACCGCTGCCAAGAAGGAGGTGAAGAACGTTAAGGTCGATGCCGCCGATGTTGCCCTGCTGGTTAGTCAACCTACCCACCTGATACGCGCGATGGAAGACGGCCGAGAGATGGGAGCCCCCATCATGAGACGGTGTTGAGACTTGACGAAAGTTGGGAATGAGACAAAGGAATACAAGCTGACAAGGACATAGGTTGACGAATTGGAGCTCACCAAGCCCAAGGCGACGGAGCTGCTCAAGGCCAACGACGGAGACGCTGTCAAGGCGATGAAAGCGTACTTGCGCTCATGAACGATTGAGGCGGCCGATGGCTGGCATGGTTATAGACTTCGGAGTAAAAGTTTTAGGTTATGTTTGTTGAGGCCCAGGATTACACATGTTATTCAATGGTTCGTCTCTGTCCGCTTTTCGACACAATTCCCTACTACGGCAAGGCTAACTTTTATGGTCTTTAGATCAGATGACCAAAGTCTCAAGCTTCAAATAGAATTGGACGCCCTTCCTCCCAAGTGGACTGCATGGGACATCCCTCGTTTCTACCAAGACTGCGTGCTCAGCGTGATTCGACTTGAACCAGACTACGCCCTGACGGCTTTAACACCTCGATGAACGTCGGCTTCTTGCCGTCACTGACATTGATACACAAAGCTGAACCATGAACAGCACTCACATTGACTCACTGATGACACGAAATCTAGTCTCCCCTCGTCCTGGGCATGATATCCTCCATCTTGACGCACTTCGGCTCCCACAAATCCGTCTCATCGCCCATCCATATCGGACTCCGCCCCGGCATCCCACGCCCAGGCGGCCCGGTATGGTTCCCACCGTACCCAGGTCCCCGACCCCGATACGGCGGCGGCGGCGGCCGACCATATCCAGGCTTCGTCCCGTTCCCTGATCCACCCTCCGGCGGTGGCCTCGGTCTCCTGCCACCCCACATGGACCTCAACAACGGCCACATGGGGATATAGCACCGCTCATCCCACCCGCACACATCCCGACACCGGATGAACTCCCCTTCCCAACCGACCCACGCCCGGAGTCGCCTCACCCCATCCGCCCACTCGCCGCTCGCAGCCTTCAGCTCCGACGTCTCGACTCGCTCGAGATCATACCACGCCCTCTCGATACCGAAACCAACTTCAAGCAACACCCCGCAGATCCCACCCATGACCTCCTCCACGGCGCCCCTCAGATCCCGCTCCCTCACGCTCAGCGGTAGATCAACCATCAACCTTGTATACCGGTACCGACACCGCGAATACGTCTCCGCAAACAGCGCGCCCTGGACATCCCACGTCTGCCGATCAATCTCGCGCGGATACTCCAGAAACGAGACGAGGAACATGTGGCTCTGCCCACGCAACTTGTATAACCACTCTCTCACCGCCGTCACATTGCTCCAGTCACTGCCATCGCCGCCGAACCTTGCACCCTCCTCCATGACCATCAAATGCCCAGCCGTCCGCTGCACAATCTCCCCCATGGAACTCACCCACTCCATCCCACTACACCCCCCCTCGCCCACAAGCGCATCCCTCAACATCACCTCCGTCTCCCACCTCATCCCCGCCGCCGCCTCCGCCGTCACATTCTCCAAATGATGCATCCTCCTCCGCCTCCCAAGCTTCGCCAACGCCTCACTCCGGTTGCCAACACTCTTTCTATCACTCCAATACCCTTCCGCAGTAAGATTCAACCTCGCCCGTTCCTCCTCCGCAACGGACCCCCAGAACCGATCCGCGTACCAGCTCGTGATCCCGCACCCCAGCACCCGCGCCCGCGTCTCCCCTTTACCCTGTCCGAGGCCGTTGGATCCGTAGTGCCACGTCGCGGAGGCGAACCATCCCCACCCTTGCGTCTGCAGGAACGGCTCCCGCTCGGCGGGACCCATGATCCCGCGCCAGTTGGGCGGCATCGGTGGACGTGAAGGGCTCACGGGGCGGTCTGTTAGCGTAGGCTGCGGCGGGAGCGGATACACCGACGTCGGAACACCTTCTTCTCCACGCAACCTCTCACCAACCTTCTTCACGGATCCCTCAACCTCATCCCTCTCCGTCCTCTTCTCCCCATCATCATCGTCGTCCTCCTTCCTCAACTGCGGCGCAGTAACATTTCCCCTCCCAACCAACCTCAAACTCCCACCGCCCCCAAAATCACACCAAATCATCTCGAACCCCGTATTCATCCTCACAACCCCCTCAAACCCCCACCCGGGCCCCCGTAGTCCCTTCTCCAGCAACCAGTCGCAGAGCCCCATGGCCCTCTCGTACTCGGGCTCCAACCCGCGCCACGGACCTCCTCCATTACTCTCCGGGCCGGACACGTTGCCGTATAAATGCAGCATCTGGGTGTCGAGCTGGCCCAGCCCCATCAGCGCCGCGGACTCGCCGTCAAAGTAGAGCGCTTTCACGGGCCGCGTGGTTTGGTACGTGAGCATGAAGCTCTGGCGTGTGCTGCCCATGATGCCATAGGCCATTTCTCTGCAATGATCCTCCCGTGTCAGCTCGCCGAGCCCAGCTTAAGGAGGTTACTTTCGCCCATGAGACTCTCATCATGACCACACGAACACACTACACACCAATCCACATCACTCAAAATCACCACCGCCATGAGAGTCCACGTACGGACATGGGGAAAGTGCTGCCGACAAAAAAGAAAAAAACTCACATATCAAAAGCAAGCCACTCCGGACTCGGCACATCCTCCTCGTCCATCCGCCCGTGATAAAACAGCGTAAACGCGGGAACCTCCACCGCCGCCATCGTGTGCCCGTTGGGGAACACGGTGTTGCTCCACTGCTGGAGCAGACCGTACGCCGAAGCGAACAGGTGCGGCGCCGGTGACGAGTAGTTCAGTCTGGCATACCATGACGATGGGCCACCATCATCGCTGCTCTTGGGCGATGAAGAGCCGGGTCCGTCTTGCGATGTCGGGTATGATGACGATGATACGCCCACGGGTTTCTGTACCTCATCGGCCGCGAAGGCGTCGGCGGCGGCGACGTACTGAGCCGCGAGCAGCGACGCCGTCAAGGCTCGCAGTGACCGCATCTTCTTCAGAGTAGATTCTATAGAGCGCAAATAGAGATTTATGAGCAATCACAACAAAGCAAAAGAAGCAAAAAAGTCTAGACTATCATCTTCGCCACAATCTAAATGGGTATCAAAGCTCAGAGTCTCATGTGTGTCGGATGGATCTTCCTTATCAATCAGTCAATGCCACCCTCGAGTCAAGTCAAGCGTGTGGTCTCTAGGACGTGGGACGTCGGGACTTTGGTTGGCCCAATCAAAAGAACGCGCGGCCAACATGCGTCACCTTGCCAGATACGGACAAGGGTCAGGGGACTTGAGATATCCTCAACTGCAAACAAGCATCACATCAAGCTTGCCAACGGGAGGGGACTTTAAATCTGAAAGTGAAAGACGAACAATCAAAGAGTCCTTTCAAATTGTGTTCCAAAGACAATCAACGCTGCCCTCGCAGCGCAGCGTATGTTCTGATGTACAACCAATCTAATAACCTAAACACCTTGATCCAGTCCTTTGGGAATCCGCATCCCATATCCGGTGTAAACGCCGTCTAAAACCAATCCCGTCGCATCTGGGCCGAGGCCTGAGTGGACAAAGAACCACAAACCAATTGCAAAATAATCAACATCTAGCGCCAGGCCTTGGCCAAGGGGCTTCCAATCTTGGGCGCAAACTGCAAGCTCTTTCTGCGAGCCGCCATCAGGCGCTGCATGACGCTCTCGTCCTTGTCTCTGTTGAGAATGCCCTCGCCCATCTGGACAAAGGTATTCTGCTTAGGAGGGCAGGTCTGCATGTGCAGAGTCTTGGTGGGAGAAGAGTCATACTCAGTCATCCCCGAAGGCGTCTCTGCAGCATACCGAGCAAGAGCCTCAGGCGCAGGCGTGACGGGAACCGGAGAGATCAGGCCCTGCCAGTCATCGTCGTCGTCCTCAGCCTCGTCTGAAGGGGTGTGCATCCACACCGTGCTATCACGTCGGTTCATGGGCGTGTTGGGCGCAGTTTTGGCATCGCGACCAGCCTTGACGGGCGTGGGAACAAGCATGCCGTTCTGGTTGGCGAGCGCTGTGGGCTCCATGCTCTTGCGACGGCGCGCGCCTCCGCGGGGAACCATGGAGGTGTCGATGTAGTATGGCGCCTCCTCGAGCCACTCGTTCTCACGCTCACAGCTGTGTCGATGGGTTAGCCAGACACCATTCAAAAGGACTTAGAAGACACTTACTCAAGAACCCAGCTCACGCCGACACACTGCACAACACCATTGGACTCTCTGACCTTCTCCATAGTGCGCTTGCCGCCATCCTTGTAGACGACGTGGGTGATGCCAATCTTTGAGGCATCCGAGTTGCCAGCAGCACTTGGGTTCCAGTTCCAGGTCTTGACGCATCGCGCTCCCATCTGACCGAGAAGCTCGACAAAGATACCGCTGGCGTCCGCACCCTCGGTGGTGTGCACATCCACAAAAACGACGGCACCACGGAGGAGACCTGGGTTGAGGTCCCGGCGGGGAGTACGCGCCGGTGTTCCGAGGCTCGACCAGACATCAGACTTGGCCGGAGTGACGGGGGCAGAGTCGAGCTCGTTATCGTTCTGCTCGTCCTCATCCTTGTGAGTCTTGCCAGGCGAGTAGGAGATGACGGTAGCACTCCTGTTCAGGCTTGGACGGCTGACTGGGAGTCGGGAAATGCTGGCAGCACGCTTCTTCTTGGGACGAGGAGTCGACTCATCGGCAGGTTTCAAAGGAACCTTGGAGACAGTGGAGAACTCGCGCGCCAGAATGCGGTTAGGAGTCACTGGAGGGACATACGCATCGCCGCCGAACATGGCGGGGTCAACGGGCATGTCGTTCTCGTCGCCGTACTCTTGGCTTGCCTCAGAGAGAGTGTCATCAAAGCTGTTGGACGTGTTGACAATCTCATCAATCTCCTCAGGCTCCATCAGAGACATTTCGTTGGCCTCAGCCGCAAGAGCCATGTCCTCCTCAGTGACCATGAGGTCGTCAAACTCGGGATCTTCGGCTTCAGCAGAGGCGGAAATCTCGGCCTCAATAGCAGCCTCAATCTCATTCTGAGCGTCCATATCGGCGCGCACAGTCATCTCATCCTCAAAGTAAGTGCTTCGGAGGGGAGAATCCTCGGCGCGAGGACTGGCAGCACCCGAGCGTCCAGGAGTGACGGGGCGTCTCGGTGTCTTGGAAGGGCTAGCAGCAGACCAAGCGTTGAGTTGGTCCGCCAAGGGAGTGAAGCCAACACTGGAAAC